TTGGGCAAGTTACAAACGCCCTCCGCCACAAACCCAGTCAACGAATTCCCAGAAATATCCAACGCCTCCACTCCCTTCAACCCATCAAAGCTCTTGGGCAAGATCCCACTCAATTTGTTGTATGAAACATCCACAACTGTGGCATTTCCAAGCAACCCAATCTCCCCTGGAATACAGCCCGCAAGTCCATTGTTCAACATCACGAATTCTTTCAACGTGTTCCCCATTTTCCCAATGCTGCTTGGAATGCATCCCGTGAAATTGTTGTTGGCAATTACAATCACCGATGCTGGCGAGTCGCCGAAATTCTCCGGGATGTTGGAGGTGAATCTGTTGTTGTTGAGAAAAATGGCGTCCAATTCCTTGGTGAAAAGCGATGAGGGCAATTCTCCTTCGAAATCGTTGAACCTTAGATCGAGGTACTTGAGATTGGGGATCCTCACAACGACTTCCGGGAAGTGGCCGACGAATCGATTGTTGCTAATGTCGAACTCGTACAGGAGGGTGAGTCTCCAAAAGCTTGTGGGAATGATGCCGCAGAATCGGTTGCTATTGATGTGGAACAGAGCGATGTCGGTCAACAAACCGAGCTCGACGGGTAGGTAGCCAGCAATGTCGGCGTGGTTAAGATCAATGCCAGCGACGACTTCGAGTTTGGGGTCGTCAAGGGCAGGGGCGCAGAAGACGCCGGTGTAGGAACAGACATCGGCGCCGATCCAACTGGCGGTGGTGTTTAATGGGTCCGAATAAATAGCCATCTTCCAGGCTTGGAGGGCAATGTATGCTCGCCGAAGTCTGGGGCTGGAGAAAGTTTCGTTGACTTGGATTGTGGATTCATAATCATCGAGCAAATCACCGTTCTCATGAAGGGTCAGGAGCTGGCGGTGGGTGATGGAATAAACTTTGGCATCAGAAAGAGCCGAAGAAAAAAGTAAAAAAGAAGATAGAAGAAGAAGAGAAATGAACAAACAACAACCCGGACCCTTCATTGTATGGATATTTATTTCTAATAGATATATGCCGCCCCCTTGGTAAGCCCAAGGGCTGTTTGCAGAGGATGAATATCAAAGAGGGATCCGAAGGGTTTTTATACCGGAAGGTCATGACCCGATTTGGCGGTGGAGAGGCCTTTTCGCCGCTTCCAACGGCTGTTTACGGAATATAGGCGAATCCCATTGAGCTGCAATGGTGCTGAGTTTGCTGAGATTGGTTCTTTTTTTCTTCAAACTGTTTCTTCAAAGATTGGCTGTGATTTTCTTCTAACCACGGATGTTAGAAGACGCCAACGTAATCATAATCATTTTTTTTAAATAAAATATATATCAAGAATTTGATTTTTCAATGTCGTGGACAGGATATATAAATAGGTATGGTCACCGTATATTTCTTCAAAAATTATCATGTAAGTTAAATAAGGATTAAAAAATACCGAATAACTATTTAGTTCTTAAACTTTAATTTGTAACGATTTGATCACTCTACTTTATATGGTATTTTAGTTTCTGAACTTTAATATGTAACAATTTAGTTTTTATAGTTTAAAATTTATAACTATTTAATCCGTACCGTGAAAATCTTATTAAACTTAAATTGTCATCTTTTATTATGAAATGATTTAGTTTTGTAGTTTATCAATACATTTGGTCATCCTATGTATCGATCTTATAAGATACTCTATTAAATTTTAACATTTTTACGATAGAGACTAAATCGTTACAAGTTTTAAGCTACACCTCCTTTAGTAGCTCGGCATCGAGAATCAGTGAGTTTTTCAACACCCGAAGGTAGCCGCACAAGCCTAAGAGAGAGTGTAGGGGGTGCAGGTTCCTTCATTATTTTAGCAAAAGTTCCTGCCGCTCGAGCCAGCTTTGCGCTTTGACCTGGATGTATCCATGTTCCTATACGTATATCGGCGAATGGTATGCAATTTCCTATTTTTGAATTTAGATCAAGTATCTCGTATCTAGTTGTAGGGGGTGTAACCAAGAAGTAGTCAGCTGACTAAATTGTTAAGTTAAAGGACTCAACTTTAAAAGACAAAATTCTTACAAAATAAAGTTTATGGACTGAATTATTATTTAAGTATAGGAATTAAAAGTATTTTTTAACTTTAAACTATCATGATATTTTAGAAGTATAATTTAGTTCTAGTTTGGACTTAAGTTTCAATTAGGTCTCTATTATGATAAAAGTTTTCATTTGTCGTTATGATTCAACTAAACCTTATAAAGCGCTTGTAAAGTTTCTTTTTTACCTGACTCCAAGATTTATTTATTTCTCCATCTTTTTACTCATGTTTCCAAAATTTCATACGTCAAATTGCAAACATCGACTCCTTCACACTTGTTGAGAATGCCTCAGTATTCGATAGGATAGCTGATAAAGATTCAAAATTATAGCCTGTAACCACCAAAACCAACTTAAAACTTCTAAAATTACAGGGATTAAAATTTGAAATTAAACCCACATGGATAGAGATAAATGGAAAATTTTAAAAAGATAAATAAATAAAAACCAACCTACCTAGTTCACAAAAATCAAGATTATAGCAAATTATGACAATTATTTTATTAATTGATATTTTATAGTATATTGGGAATATATAAACTATACTGGTTTTTATTGCGTTAATACCCACCTGTATTTTAGAAATAACGGCTTAGTTTTCAAGTTTCATGTGGTTGGCCTTGTATTATTAGAAATATCTAAACCTTATTCAATTTTGAGGCTTGAATGCTGAAAACGGAACTAGATTTTTTGTTTCCTCCATCGACTTTCATCTGTTTTTTCATAAAAAAAAAAAAAAAATCACTAAAAAAGTCTATAAATATAAATAATTCCTACCCTTTCTTTAGAAAATAAAATATGAAATCTTCATCTTATATATTCATTGTTCAGATTAATGAACTTATATGAGTGAATAAAAATTAGAATGGTAATTCTAACCTTGTGTTAGGTATTACATTAATTATGTCAATAGAATAAATTAAATAATATCATATTTAAGAATTTTATCGATGGAACTAAATTTAGAGATACCATACTAACAAATTAAATATAATAGAAAAATTCATAATTTAACAAACTTTCTTTTTTTTTCCTTTTTCCTTTTTTTTAATGTCTTCTTTTTTCCTTTTTAATAATAATAATAATTATTAAATAAATTATAAAGAATGGATCGTGGTCTGTTGAGCACTTTATAGTAAAACGTGGAAGATGGGGGATGTGTAACGTATAATGCGAATGACAATGCCATGCATGATGGGTGGGGTGCAGTTTTTGTGAAGCACCTTTGCAATTAATTAATGACGATAAGATTATGATTAGCCAAATTCACTTTGTAATTATATCAAAATTTTGGACAAATATAAGATATTGTGTTTTTAGGTATGTGATAATGACATCTGCACCAGTGATATATATATATTATGTATTAATTTGGAAAAGTCCAGGTCCGACCATTAAATATAACTATGTTAGATTTGCATATACTCGATTCAAATTCTGAATGGAACAATTATGTTCTTTTCATTATTTATGCGTCATTTCACAATAGTTTTTAATAAAGCTATGAACTAACAAAAGTGGTGGAATTTTATTTTTGGTAATGTGAAAAAAAATTGTAAAAATAGAGATGAGAGTTGATGACTTGCCGCTTCTTACTTAGTATCCAGGGAATAGCGGTGGAGGAGGTGATGAGTATTCAAAGCCAATATTTGGTGGAAGAATGATGTCCTCTAGTGGAGACGGTGGAGAGACGACTGGAGGAGGAGGAGAGGGAGATGGAGAAGGTGGTGGTGGAGAGTGGACGGGCGGTGGTGGAGAGTGCACTGGTGGTGGTGGAGACTGGACCGGAGGTGGTGGAGAGTGCACGGGTGGTGGTGGAGAGTGGACCGGAGGCGGTGGTGAATGGACTGGAGGAGGCGGGGAGTGCACCGGAGGTGGTGGAGAGAAAACCGGTGGGGGTGGGGAGAAAACTGGTGGTGGAGGAGATTGGACAGGTGGTGGTGGGGAGTGCACCGATGGTGGTGGGGAGTAGACCGGTGGTGGTGGAGAGTGCACCGGTGGTTGTGGAGGAGATTGGATCGGTGGTGGTGGAGAGTGCACCGGTGGTTGTGGAGGAGATTGGACGGGTGTTGGTGGGGAGTAGACCGGTGGTGGAGGAGAGTGCACCGGTGGTGGTGGAGGAGATTGGACGGGTGGTGGTGGGGAGTGCACCGGTGGTGGTGGAGAGTGCACCGGTGGTGGTGTGGAGTAGATCGGTGGTGGTGGAGATTGCACGGGTGCGGGTGGTGGAGATTGCACGGGTGCGGGTGGTGGAGATTGAACCGGTGCTGGTGGTGGAGATTGGATCGGTGCTGGTGGTGGAGATTGGATCGGTGCGGGTGGGGGCTGTTCCGGCTTTGGTGGCATGGACGTCGATGTGGTCGGTGATGGTGGTGACGATCCTCCGCCGCATTTAGCCTTACCGCAATCAACGGTTTTATGGATCACTGAAGTACAAATTTCTGTCGTTTTTTGGTTAGGCCTCTTTGACAAACAATTGCTTGAATCATCTAACACAATGTTCTTTTTGTTATGGGGCACGCAACTCTCGGCCTCGCCATTGAAGAAATTGTTAGAGAATGTGAAATTAACCAATTTGGGCAAGTTGCAAACGCCCTCCGCCACAAACCCAGTCAACGAATTCCCAGAAATATCTAATGCCTCCACTCCCTTCAACCCATCAAAGCTCTTGGGTAAGATCCCACTCAATTTGTTGTATGAAACATCTACCACCGTGGCATTTCCAAGCAACCCAATCTCCCCTGGAATACAGCCCGCAAGTCCATTGTTCAACATCACGAACTCTTTCAACGTGTTCCCCATTTTCCCAATGCTGCTCGGAATGCATCCCGTGAAATTGTTGTTGGCAATTACAATCACCGACGCTGGGGAGTCGCCAAAATTCTCCGGGATGTTGGAGGTGAACCTATTGTTGTTGAGGAAAATGGCATCCAATTCCTTGGTGAAAAGCGTTGAGGGCAATTCGCCTTCGAAATCGTTGAATCTAAGGTCGAGGTATTTGAGATTGGGGATCCTCACGACGACTTCCGGGAAGTGGCCGACGAATCGATTGTTACTAATGTCGAACTCGTAAAGGAGGGTGAGCCTCCAAAAGCTTGTGGGAACGATACCACAGAATCGGTTGCTATTGATGTGGAACAAGGCAATGTCAGTCAACAAACCGAGCTCGACGGGTAGGTAGCCCGCAATGTCGGCATGGTTGAGATCAATGCCGGCGACAACTTCGAGTTTAGGGTTGTCAAGGGCAGGGGCACAGAAGACGCCGGTGTAGGAACAGACATCGGTGCCGACCCAATTGGCAGTGGTGTTCAATGGGTCAGAATAAATAGCCATCTTCCAAGCTTGGAGAGCAATGTAAGCTCGTCGAAGTCTAGGGCTGGAGAAAGTTTCGTTGACCTGGATTTTGGTTTCATAATCATCGAGCAAATCATCGTTCTCATGAAGGGTCAGGAGCTGACGGCGTGTGATGGAATAAACTTCGGCATCGGAAAGAGCCGACGAAAAAAATGAAAAAGAAGATAGAAGAATAAGAGAAACGAACAAACAGCAACTCAGACCCTTCATTATATTTATTTTTATTTCTAATAGATATGTGCCGCCACCTTGGTTAAGCCCAAGGGCTGTTTGGAGAGGATGACATCAAAGGGGGCTCCGACGAGTTTTTATACCCGATTCGGTGGTGGAGAGGCTTTTTCGCTGCTGCCAATCGTTTTTCGAATAAATGGCTCGCAGTGATTTTCTTGTAACAAACTACAGATGGTTGTTGTGAGGGAGACCCGTCTGTTTTGATATTGGGCCAGGCCCAAGTTCTGAATCGTGCACAAGCCCAAAACTAAAATTACAGTAGAGGGAGGGTCCCAGCTAAATATAGTAATGGTTTTTTCGTTATTATTCAATTTTACCCTTAATATATTATTAAATTCTCCATTAGTCGCTTTTTAAAATTTTATCGATCATCAAATTAGATTTCATGTATAATCAAGTGATATTCAAATGTTATTTTCAAAAAAAAAAAAAAAAGAAAGTAATATTCAAATGTTGAATATTTGAAAAATTAATTCTAATAACTATTTTCTTTAATTTAAAAAGATAAAAATATTTTCAGAACTCTAAATTAGTTTTTATAATCAAATACTTTCTTATAAAGACAACATAACTTAATTGGTTAAGAAATTAGCAATTTTAGAATGTTGCTAGTTTGAACTTTCCCCTTCTCATTTGAAATTAAAAGAAAAAAAGGTTTTTAAATTACATATTAGATTTGGATTAATTTTTTAGATAATTGAGATAAAATGTTTGAACTAAAAATTGAAACCACAATTCAAATTCCAATATTAGATTAGAGTTTTGAACCATTTTTTTAAAGATAAAAAAATGTTCACTAACAAAGCTAATATTTAAATATTAAAACAAAACAATGAAACAGACTTTTAAAAAATAAACTTGATATATCTTCAAATAATATTTTAAAAATTTAAAATCAAAATATAAAAAATATATATATAACTTAAAAGTATAGTTGGATTTTTTAATTACGCATGGAAATAAGAAAGAAAAAAAATCAAAACAAAGGTAAAAAGGCCCACCGAGGGGAAAAGGAAAATCAGTTAATAAAATTGAATGATCAAAATAAAAACATTTTTTGTTAGGAGGCAAAAATGTATATAACATAATGAAAAATAATTATACTTAATCACATAATAAGAAAATTTTAGAATAGCAAAAGTTTTATAATTCTTTTATTCCCTTCGATTCTAAATTTGTCTCTTCCACTTGACAACTTGAAAGTTCTATTTTAAGAAAAATAAGAAAAAATATGCTGTTAATAATTAAGAAGATAATTAAAAGGTTTTTGATGAAAGAATAAATGATAAATCATTTTACAAATTAAAAATATACAAATTTATTAAGATATAAATTACATCATAATAATTAATAATTTGCTCTCATCTATATTTTATATTTAGATATCATATACATAATCCCTTTTTAAGTTTTTTTTTAATCTTTTAATCTTTTTTATTTCGAAAAGCATCCCTTTTAAGTCCCTAGAGTTAAAGTTTTCATGAAATAAAATATTGTATTAGATTACTGTACACGTTATCAAAAGGCCATGACCCGCTGACGTAGTCATAATCATTTTTTTAAAAAGAAAATAAATATCAAGATTTTGTAAAAAAAAAAAATCCCAAAGATGTGGATAGAAAAATAGATATCACCATCTATTTCTAAAAAATTATAATTAAGTTAAATTATGGTTAAAAAAAAATACTTTTTGGTCAATTACTTAATTAAATTAATGATTTAGTTTGGTAACCATTTGACCATTGTATTTAAATAGGTAATAATTTAATTCCTAAATTTTAATGAAACAATTTAGTCCTACGGTTTAAAACTTATAATAATTTAATACTTATCATGAAATTCTCATTAAAATTAATTGTAAATTTTTATTATGTAATGATTTAGTTTTTATAGTTTATTAATATATTTGGTCCTCTTTATCTAAATAAGACATCAAAATCAAATCTCATCAACATATTAGAGGACTAAATCGTTACAAGTTTTGAACTACTGGACTGAATTGTTAAATATTTAAAGTTAAGGGACTCAAATGCTATAAACTTATCAATGCAAACTAAACTAACTTTTAATGAACTAAATTGTTATCCCAAGTATAAGAAACAAAAGCATTATAATCATATGAAATAAATAAAAACTAATTAACCTAGATCACAAAGACCAAGATTATAACAAATTATAACAATTATTTTATTAATTTATATTTTATAGTATATTAGAAATATATCAATTATACTAGTTTTTATTTGGCCGATACACTCTGTTAATGCTAGCAAGTATTCTAGAAAGATATTCGGTTTCAAGATTCATGTAGCTCTTCTTGCCATTCTATTACTAGAAAATACCAAGGCCTTTTTTTAGATTTCGGGGAATGAACCATGAAAATAAAACTAGACTTTGCTTCCTCCATGTCCAGTAATCAGTTTTTTCTATAAAAATATTTTTGCTCAAAAAGACTCCTTCAACTCTATATCTGTACTGTCAAGATCTCTACGAGTGACTCGTTGAGATATAAATTTGAACCACTTTTTTTAATAAAATAAAATTTGAATAGATGTCTTCATTTTTATATTTATTATTCGAATCAATGAACTAAATCAGAGAGTTAGACGAGGGAAAAAAATCTACACTCCCAAAGAACTATAATTATAATTCTAACCTACCACCAGGAATTATATTAATGATGTTGATTTGAATAGACTAAATAAGATCAATTTTAAGAATTGAAATTAAATTTAGGAATACCATACTAACAAAATAAATACATTGGACAAATTCATAATTTGACAATTTTTTTTTTTTAAAAAATTATAAAGAATGGATCTTGGTGAGGATATGTAATTTGACGTAAATGACAATTCCATGCATGCTAGGTGGAATGCAGTTTTGGATGACGTAACTTTGAGAGATAAAATTATAATTAGCAAATTCACTTCGCAATTATATCAAAGTTTTGGACAGGTATGAGACATTGTACTTTTAGGTATGTAATAAAGACATATGCATTAGCGTATTATCCCTTGTTTATGTCAATATTCTTGTTATAGGCCAAATTTACTAATTTGGAAACTTCATTGGATTGGATCATTCAATAAAACTATGTTAGATTTGCAAACCTTATCCAAATTCCAAAATAAACAATGATGTTCTTTTCATTATTCATGTGTTGTATGAACTAACAAAAGAGTTTTTTTTTAATGAGGAAAATAAAAATGTTAAAATAAAGATGAGAGTCGATGATTTGCCGCTTGTTGCTTAGTAACCCGGGAACATTGGTGGAGGGGGTGATGAGTACTCGAAGCCCAAATTTGGTGGAAGAATGATGTCCTCTAGTGGAGAAGGTGGTGGCGGAGACTGGACTGGAGG